TGTGCACTGTAAAACGAATGTGTATTCTAAATGATATTGAAACCAAAGGTATAAAAATAATTACCTATAAAAGTAAACAGTTTCGAAAATATTTATCATTTTCATATTAAGACTTCCAAGGAAAAGAGATTTAATATATAACATAATAATAACATTGTTTTAATTCATTGTTTACCGAATTTCTTCGATAAACTGTTTATTGTAATAAACAGTTTCTTGTAATAAACAGTTTATAGAGAAAATAAAATGTACTTAGTTACGTGCAAAACACAGACTGTTTAATTTAATTTGTAATAAAATGTCTATAGAAATTGATGCAAAAGTTTTATTCTAAGCATGTATTTAAAAAAAAATCATTTTTCCGTTATTTATTATTGTACTAACACGTATGCTGTGTACCCTCTTCTACACCAAATAGTTGATCAATATGTATTTCTTGCTATTATCAATTAATTTTTTTATTACTAACATTACTTAACATTACTTAATATTACTTTTACTTTTGTTTATGTTTATCAACTTTTTAATTATGCGTTTTTTTAATTTTTTAATTATTAGGTTAAAAGAATTTTAATTTATTAAATAATACTGAATAAAAGAAAATGAATTAAACTTACTTTCTTTACCATTAAATATTTCATTTTTAATAAGTATAAAAATCTGTCATAAATCTTTCTAAACAAATGACATGTTCGTTTATGGATGATAGCTAAAGAAGCTTTCTATGACTAAAAAGGATTGAATTTCGTAACATATATTCTCATGCAAATTTGATGTATTCCATTTCGCTCCTTCGCAAAACGTAAAGTACGAGGTAATTTCAAAGCAACATCAGCGAGCTCTTATGCATTCTCATTTTTTCCCAATATACGTATTCGCGCGACACGAGAAAGTACTTCAATTCAAACGATTTACAAATACGGTTTATGTATTTGAACGCAAGAAATGATGCTTTTTGCTTGTCGTTGCTATTTTACTGCCACTATAAGAGACAGCCACTATAAGAGGCCATCGTTGTTTAAACTCAAATAACAGTGAGTTAAACCTGGACGTGTTCTCGGATATCAGATTAGATTGAATAAGTCAAAATCCTAAAATCATAAAATAATATGTTACCCTAAAATAATCCCTAATAAGTTGTGATCCCTAAGTATATAAGTGAGTAATTAAGATTAATATATAAATAATTTCTTCTAAAGTTAATATCTAAGTTGTATATATGTATATAATACATTCTATAGAATTAAATCATATAATAGAATAATTTGAAAAAATTACGATTTTATAATCCAGATAATTTTGCAGAAATAGGATAGAAAGTTATAGCGTAACTCAATTCCCCGACCGCGCGGTTTCCGATGCCAAACGGCTGTCGCAATTTCAGTAATGAGCCAATGAGCCGAAAATTAGGACGATTCACCTAGTGTAGAAACGAGCGCGAATATTCACAATGTTGACGATCGACCCGGAATAATCCGCATCGGCCAGAATTGTTGGAGTACATTTGCAAATAACGTGAGTTGTGAATAACGCTGAGTATGGATATACCGAATATCGAAATATATCGAGATGACGAACACGTTCATATGTAAAAATGTTTGTACATATTTTTTGCATCTCAATATTTCGTTTTATTTCTTCCATGCAGGTTCACGTTCACGCAAACGTTTATTTATTCTTGAAAATATACCGGAAAATATATACATGAGTGTTTCAACAGTCATATTAGAAATGATGCTTTTTAAAGTTTTCTCATAATGAGTTTGCCAATTACGATGAGTACAACGATAGATCAAGTGATCCATCAATTTGTAAGTTTTTCCGAGAATACTTCTTCGAGCAAGACGGTTAGCATTCTGCTGTTTACTTTCTCAATTGATAAAATACTTCAAGCATAAAATATTTAAGAGTGTATAAAGCAAACGAAATGTAATAACGTATTGACGAGATAGATAGATAGATAGAGAGAAAGAGAGAGAGAGAGAGAGAGAGAGAGAGAGAGAGAGAGAGAACAAAGTTAATAGTACTAATTGTAAGCAAAATGTTGGAAATATACGTTATTGCATTACGTTTGTGATAGGTTAATATTTATAATTTTAATTAAATCATATTTATAATTTTATAATATTCATATTTATAATATTTATAATTTTAATTAAATCATATGTATAACTATTAGATAAAATAATACACATTCTATTTCCTATTAAAATCTATTAGATAAATAAAATATTCAATGAATACGATATTATAAAAATATATCGAAAAAATTATATAGGTACTCATTATATGAATATAGAATAAAAGGATTTATGTTAACTTTTTATCTATTCGATCTTTTTATAATAAACTTTTTTGAATTATCTTCGTGCTTTAATTATAATATTATATCCATATTATTACAATCGTATGTTAGGATAGATATGTTAGAATAGAAACTTTAATCTTTAATTAATTTAAAAAAAAATAAGTAAATCTCTAAATCAATAAAGTATATAACATGAGATATATAACATGACAGAACGGTTATCGTTGGATTTCATGTCTAATAATTTATTTGGAATAATATTTTATTATTAAATTGATAATTAATTTAATATACTATATATATAATGTAAACAAGCATCTTATATAAATAATATTTCTGCATCTTTTTCTGCATATAAATTTTCAAGAGGTTTATTACTGAAAAGTATCCATGCAATATGATGCTGATTTGTATCTCATAAAACCTACCAAAAAATATATCATATTCATGATGCATCTTATAAATCTACCAGAAAATGCATTACATTCTCTAAGTTTTATAAAATATAAGTTAATGCCAAGTTAATTAATAAATATTTTTCAATAATAAACCTCTCACAGGTTTATAAGATGCAATATTATTTAGATATGTAATGTATAAAATGCTTATTAACATAAAAATGTTATATTGATTATTAGTTTAATAATAGAATATTATTATTCCAAATAAATATTATTAGGCAAACGATCAGTTGATAATCGTTTTGTCAAAAAACGAAGTTTTATTTTGTTACTTAATTTTCATGAATATTTTATTTTAAGATTTTAAATGGTGTCGTGACATTTTGTCTACACCCAACTAAATTATTAAAATAGTAGCATATATTAAATAAATCATCGCACTAATACTGCAATTTCTATTATTGGAACTTTTACTTTACAGCATTTCAAGTTTATCCGTTCAGTCATGTGAATAAAGTTATAAGAAAAATTTCTTCATAGTCGTTTTCTCGCCTTCTTTCTCTTTTTCATATTGTCCGTCGCGTCAGTTCGCAGCTTATATCTCACTTCTGGAGATTATAATCTTGAAGAAGGAAGTGTTGCATTATCATGTGCGCAGATCCGTGAAAATAAGGTCTTGTCTTCCAGTGCAAAGCAGAACATACGGAGATCGAAAAAAAAATGCATCACTCACAATCAAATATTATTTGTGTATTTCTGTGTATACTATTTTAATATTCTTATAATAACTTATTCTTGTTCATCTTTTAATATTCATGAGCCGAATGTATAGGTACGTTTCCTAATAAAAAAATTTTATTTCAATTGACTTTGGTTGATGCTTCACTTGCGGAAAGCTTTTCTATCGCCATTTCTTCTATCATCATTTAGCAAGGAAAAAAATATTAGAAGAAGAAAAATGGAACCTCGAAAGAAAAAGGGACTGCAAAACCTCCCAAGAAAGAATTGCTCGTCTCTCACCCTTTCAACATTCGTGACACTTAAGTCTCTAGCAAACATTTACACTAGCTATGTATAGAAATAAGAGTGAGTTTCATCGGTAAACATTTCCAAGCCACGTGTGCAAACGAGATGCTGAAGAAGGACGTTCAAGTGTAAAATTGTAGATGTGACAAGTTAATTTTTTATGCAGACAACGATTTTGTGTTTGAAATTCTTTGACACGATTTTCAACATTTGACATACAAGTGACAATCTATATTATATAAACGTTGCTTATGTAATTACATAACATATTTCAATTAGACATAAATTGATACATTTATATTTCTTCCGATGTATATTGCATATATTGATTATAATAAAAATAAGATAATATATAATACTACGATAAATTAACACGAATTAAAAATTTTAAGAATATAATTATTGATTTTTTGTTTTAAAAATCTAATTATTCAAGTATTATCGTGAAAATTGTTATAACAACAAGGTTTAATTTGATTTACTTTTGTAACCGTAGATCAATGGCAAACAACATAAGAACGGTAGATTCAACAGGTGTTATGCTGCGAAATTGCGTGGAGTAAAGTCCAAACAATAAGAAAAATAAGAGCAAAAACAACGGATTTACTGTAAACCATGTTAGAGAGACAAGAATTTCATTAAATTCGGCTTCGTTCCATAAAATATAATTATACGATATTAGTTAACAAAACACGATTGAATGACCCATAAATAAAATTTTAATTTTATTTAATTTTATGTTAGATATACGATGGCGCAGCACAGTCAAATGTATGTATAGAATAAAAATTTAATAATGTGTTGATCGTATGTACAGATTATTTATGTTCAACTAATAAAGAAACATAGGTCCGATATTGATATAAATGGATAAATGAACGAAATATTCAAATTGCTTATGTCATTAATTTTTGTTAATTTATGCAAATTGCATCTGCGAGTATCGACCGGATATTCATATCGTTGGCATATATTTTATTGATTAAACTTCTCTCAATTCGCGCAATACAAAACAAATTATTACCGTATACTGATTAATTGACCAGTATATTCGATGCAATGATGAAAATATGATGGTCCAAACAAAACAATATCATTATTATAATAACGTAACTCACACCCGTGTTTATCAACAACAAAATTTCATCGACATAGAGCTCGTTGACATACATAAAAGCATCATTAAGCTAATTAATTTGTTAATTTGAAATATTACTTTTAAATAAATTACAAACAGAATTGTGTCATGTTATTATATATTCCAGGTTCGATAAGCAACATAGATGGCGCGGAATATCACTGCAACAAGACTGCCGTGCGAAAAGTAATCAGTGGCGTCGTTGGTGCAGCGAGTTCAGTAACTTCGATTCAGGTTGCCAATCTCCTACGATTGTTCAAAATACCTCAAGTAAGTAAATAAATCCAGTTTTCCCAATACAATGTCTTAACGACTGAGTGAACTGTATATAATATTTTGCGAAAATTATTATTTTATTGTTATTTATTCTTTTATTTTAAAATATTTATTCTTTTTTGCACAATTATTTCTTGATAGTAGAATTTTTTATAAATATTTTTACTATGATGTTTAATATTTATCACGTACATGTTTTTTTCATTGAATGAAATGAAAAAATAGTGACAAACAAGAAATCTTTATCAGTTGCATAAAAATCTATATGCACATAATAGATTATTTATACGAATGAATGCAGAAATAATCATGTGATGCATTGATAAAATAATTTAAATTTATAAAAGCTAAACTTATAAAATGCGATCCAATTTTAGAAAATTAATACAATAAACGGTAAGCGGATAAAGAGAGAGAAATATATATATATCTATATATTAATGCTCTATTACAAAGATTTAGAACTAGGCAATACCGTCATACTTCTAGAAGCTGGAGAATGAAAATGCCAGGTTAGGTGGCAGTAAACCGTGAAAACTTCATTCTTGACGAAAGTTTACAGAACCTGCGGTTTAAAATCTTCGTACCGTGAAATCACCTCATCCAACGTTACTTTCCTTATAAGCCATTCGAGTCTCTTGGCCCGTTTTATCTCTCAGCGCTCTATTAGGTTGAGGTTTAAAGGGGGTTACTATAACACGTTATTCGTCCAGCCGCGAAAGTGTGTGCCATATTGCTATTAAACTTTTACTAACTCTCTGTTATTTTGATATTTGGTATCACTAAAGATAAATCAGAATAAAATTTCAATAGTGCTATAGTTCGTAATTTCTTACGTTCGGAACTTCTCATAACCTGACAACAAAGTAAAACTTAATGATCATTTCTTTAAGCTGTACGAAAAAGACAAGAAAAATTATATCTTTCATGTATAACTTTAACTTTTTTCAACATGTATTTTTTATATATTAATTATAATGCAATTAGAAATCCTTTAAATCTTTTCCCCGATATTGATATAGACTCGTCTAGTAACGCTAACTATAAGCATATGTTCATTTATAGTCCAACTTGAGGACAAGCTTGAACTTGTTGATCATTGACTACTCGAATTCTAAGGTTCCGAGGTAATTCTATAATAATAGTTCATCTAAAGCTCCTTAACTCAAAGTACCAATAGTCGATTCTGGTGTACGAGTTAGAAAATTAATCTGCTTATATCGTCCACATTGTCCACAGGATCTCATTTTACGATGTCGAATTTCTCGCTGATAGATATTTGTATAGTAGAGATCGAACGCGATAATATGTACATTTACATGCAAACTTATGAAAATCATGTTAAGAAAGGATCTAAACAACAATTTGGTATGACAAGAGGTGACCTTTAACTCACATCGAATAGGATACATGACGCAATCAATAGTAAAATATCTGAGTAATTCATATCGATGAATTGAGCTAGCTATAGATTTACGTAAAATATTTTTTAATTGAAATATTTTGAAAGAATTATTTTACTAAAATATTTCAAAATTTAGCTAGCTATGCACGGGCCAAAAATATTATACATAAATCTGTAGCTAGCTAAATTTTGAAATACTTTAATAAAATAATTCTTTCCATGTATATGTACATACGCTGCAACCGTAAACCGAATAAAACAATAAATTTTTCTTTAGTAGTTTGCTAGCCAAAGTTCTTGATACATTACAGACAAAACTAGGGATGTATTATATTGTCGAAACGTAATTCGTCCCCATGAGAAACGACTTGTATACAATTGTTACTTTTGGACGACTCAGGTGTTTGTGACAAAGAACGATACTTTGCGAAAACTCGTCACCGCGCGATTCATGCTTCTAAAGATCCACAGTGGTGGAGTTTGAAAGAGATTTTGCGAGGATTTCAAGGAAGACGTGAAAGGATCAGGCGGAATATAAGTCTAGGGAAACAGCGACGGATTTAATTTTAGTCCATAATTCTTTCGGTAGGATTTCTATCCAGGATTTCTACGGTTGAGCGTAAGTTTGCGAAACAGATCTGTGACATCGTAATCTATATCATCATACCAGAAACTGAGAAGAACTACTCTCTAAAGCGCATTTGAATTGCATTTGCATAAGAAAACAAAATAATACCGGATACTCCAAAGTATACTCGCAGGTTCTATTTTAGATACAGGTTAAATGTACTGCAGGTTAAATGTAAAAATACTATGCAAAATAGGAAATAAATGTAGATTTCCTTCTTATATAATTTTTTAAAATTAAATTTGTTTATCACTGAAAAATTGCATTAATAAATAAGTACACTGTATTGAATAATAATAACAATGTAATGTTTATATAATGTAATATTCATATAAAATATTTTAAATCATTTCTCAAAAATGAAAATTATATCGACAGAAAATATGCATTAATATTTTATCAGACACGTAGTTTGAATTAATCTTTGACTTGTAATATTATTGTAATCAATAATATAATAATTCTATAAAATCATAACTTGCATTATTGCTTTATCATATATTTATAATTTATGCTTGTTAAAAACTTTAACTGAATCTAACATTGAATTAATATCTGATTCTCATCTATCGAGATCATTATCAACAAATCGTAAAACTTCTTATATTCATTATATATTGCAAATTATTTTTTTCGCATTTACTCTTGTTTTCTTTGACGCGTCTATTAAGCTACTCGATCTTGTGAAACTTATCACGTTGGCGTTATGCTAAACTAGGAAACTGTTCGAGAATGTGACGTAAAACGGGATCGCTTTTTGCTTATTCCAAAAAAAAGTTGCAAACTTTTATGAATTCTTCGGCTCAGTCAATTTCATACTTTTGCTTAAAAGAGTCGAGGTAACATTTTCTCATGAAAAATTTAAGTGCTCGCTATTATAATTTCCTCAAATAAACCGAACTTTTAATAAACTTATTTCCAAATAATCCAAATGAACTACTCGCGGTTATGTATAATATAGTTTGAATTCGATATTCTATACACATGGTGCATAGTTTACGTAGTATATAAAAACATAAATTTTTTAATTTATTATATTAACTTTTAATTAAAAAATAGTTATAATATTATAATTACTGTTGGTATTATAAGTACTGTCGTCATTATTATCGTTAAAATAAACTACTTAATATTTCTAATAATATTTCTACTACAACTTATACTTTGAAAGCTGCTGCATATATTAAATCGTTTTTTTCCCCTATGTGATAACAGAGAGTTATTTGACTGAAAAGCATTGCTTGTCCCACCTTACCACATTTTTCTTTCATGCAACCTAGTAGTTTAGTTTATCCATATTCATAACAGACGAGATTGGAAAGCGTTCGATCTTCATCACTTTCGCGACAACTTGAGGCAAAATCTGGATTAAAGTCGATCTTCTCCAATGACAGAACATGTCTGTATTATTAAGAACGTTATCTTGCGGGATGACGTTTTATTACCTAAAAGTAATCAATCTTATAATTTGAATACCAATCTTATAATTTTAATTTTAATGGCTTTTCTAAAATTAATTTCTAAATATTACTAGATTGTCACATTTGGGACAATCATGTATAAATTTTTTTCGAAATTATTTTACATAGACATATTCAGTATAAATTTTGTAATTTATTGAATGCAAATGTGTATAATGTGTATAATCTGCAGTAACGCAACAATTCCAAAAAAATAAATATTACTAACATAAAATGTAATATTTATGACACGCACGGTCTCGCGAGGCATAAGAGATGTATTATATTTCTAATTGGCTATATTATCCCGAAACGAAAATCCCGAATACATTATTCATCATGTTAACTTATATCGACAAGTATTGCTATACTCGTCATAGTTACGTACGATCCGAAGCGGCTGCGGACGACCGCTTAGCTAAACGATTTCTCCGCAACTTGTCAACGATGACGTACGATCGACATAGAAACACAGGCATAACACCACGCATAAACACTAAGCATGTGAGCGGAAAGTGCATACACGTCAAAGGGAGCTTCACTATTCGTGTCAATCAGTATCCTACATGTACATGTGTCGCGCCATGATCGACAAGCGAACAGGAGTCAGTTCACAGGATTCGATAACACACGCGTACAAAGACTCAAGGCAATTCTCTGTGAGAGGTAGCTAAATTACAGCTTCCAGTACTCGTGCTTAAATTACTCCGTATCAAGCTCTTTTGTTCGCAATTTGAAATTCATGAGTATCTAAAAATTGTTAAATTAATTAAAGTATACACGTAAGAATATCTAATGAGTTATCTATAAAATAATCTCTCAGCAAATTTGCGCGAAAATTATTTTTCTCAAAAAAATATAAAAAATATAAAAAATTAATGCTTTAATGTGATATGATAAAACTGATAAAATAATGATGTTACTCACTACTGGTGTAAGTAGTGTCTTTAGTGTTTATACAAATGAAGCTTAGAAGGAAAAATTAATTTATTTGATTGAATGATTTAATTCATGTAATTTACAAATTATGAGACTTTGTAGATATATTATAAAATTATACTTTCAATGAGTAATAATTATTATTTAATAGGGAGCCTATGTACCTACACGTAGTAATCTATTAATCGATCTATTAATCTATTAATAATATTCTGCTCCTCCCTGATTATTACTGTCCAATTGAAACACACTTTAATCGTATCAAGTATGTCACTGTCGTCATAAATTTCAGTCACGATTTTCGCGAATCGAATTAGTTAGAAAGAAAACGCTCAGCAGCAATTTCTGTAAGTGGATTTCCATCTCTACAAGGAATACCGAAACTCGCGGGATTACGATCGAGATTCAAGACGTAAGCCGATGCGAGCTCAACTCAGTGAACTAAATAATGAAATCGCATCTTGCCAGCAAGCTGCATCGTCCTTACGAAATTTCTCACTTGGAAATATGCCGTTGATGTCGTAGATTTGAATAATCGATAAGCCTTCTTCTGTTACTGCTC